CCCAAAATAAGTTAACCTATCGGCACACAAACAGTCATAAGTTAATTTGTTTTGGGATAGAATGATTATGTAGGAGAAAAATCTATATATTTTTTTTCCTTTTTGCTTTCATTCTTCCTAAGGTTTGCCAAAATTCATTATTTCTCATGGAGTATAGGACTCCACACAATGAAGAACACAACACGTACGATCAACAAATTAAACACACACACACACAGAGAGAGAGAGAGAGAGAGAGATTGTTTACGACAACTCTTGCAAAATATAAAGCTAGCTAATTAATTGAGACACGATCGAATATATACTTTACGACATGCATGGAACTTATCGTCCTCATGCATCGATCTTCGAATTCGTCGTCGTACGTCTAGCTTCTTCTTCGTATCAAGAGACGATCGATCGACTAAGTTTTAATTGTGAGACGGAGGATGCGTCTTGGGCGGCGCGTAGTCGACGCCGGCGTCGTCCGCCGCGCCATCGCCGCCGCCGGAATCGTCATCATCTTTCCCGCCGACGTCCGCCGCCGCCGGGAACGGCGCCATCGCGGCTCCGGCTCCGGCGGCCTCTTCCTCCGTCGTCCTCGCCTCCGCCGCCGCGCCCTCGACGCCGCCGGGCTGCAGCCCCAGGGCGCCGTCCGGCAGCGGCGCCGGCGCCGGCGATCCCCGCTGCTCCTCCGCCGCCGCCCGCATGTACCTCCGGGGAGACCTCCACACGTGCTGCATGCACACGCACACGAAGATAATCAAAATCAAGAATCCAACTAATTAATTTATTAACCAAGAACACTTCTCCACTCATGCTTACCATGGCGGCGGTAATGTCGTCGTCGCCGTACAGCGCCGCCGTCGACGGCGAAGCGGCCGGAGCGGCGGCGAAGAGGCGGCGGTGGTTGCGGCTGGTGGCGTGGCAGACGGAGAGGTGGAGGAGGAAGAAGAGGAGGAGACAGACCATGCAAGAGCAGCGCATGATCTCTCGGCTTCTTCTTCTCTACTCTCTTTTTGAGTCATCGACTCTTTTTTCTACAGGGATTTTTGAGGGTTTTTTTTTTTCTGGTCTTATTTTGATCCGAGGCGTGGTTGGGGTTGGAATGTGACGCGGTTTGGAGATTTCGCATAGGTATTTGTAGTCGTTCAGGGACTCGTATTGTCATACATAACCAATCAATTTATGCCACGTGTCTAATTAACTAGGCTTTGTGTATTCAAAGACAACCAAGATTATATATTCATATATACTCCTATCTATATTTGCAATCTCACAAGTACACAAACTAGTACCAACTGTGTTATGGCCTAGATGAAAAAAAAGATGTTCATTAGTTTTGACCAAGTATTATAATTTGGCTAGAGAACACATTATTCGGATACACCAAAAGATAATTTGAGTATACATATAATTTGAGGCATAGGTGAAATTGTATGTTGTGTTTTCTTTCTGAAACTTTAATTTTATACATTATATGATGGAGAGCAAGAATGGCTATAGATTCTGTTAGAGCAAATGTCGGGGTTTATCCATTATCTAAAGAGAAAATGAAGAGACCGAGGGGATGCCATGTTAATATTCACATGGATATTTTCATTATTGACATGGATATCTTAAATATATTTTTTTATTTAAGTATTAGAACGTTGGGTGATAAGCAATAACTTTTGGGCTAAGTGACAATCTTCTTTTCAGTTCTAAAAACAAACAATCTTCTTTTCAGATAGGAAGACACGTCTGTCATGGGCCTTTAATGGGCCAGGTAAAGACCTATTGAACGGGCCCTAATGTAAATCACCAGTGCGTGGCCAGGCCCAAGCCCAATTTGGTAACCTGACTAGTTAGGAAAGGCCTGTTACAAGCCCAAATTTAACCCTCCTCTCAAAACAAGAAAGGTCAAAGCTTTAGGTTGACCGTCCTTAAATTCTTCTGTAGGACGTTTTTTTTTCTTTTAAAAAAATCACTATTAATCCTGACCGTTGATTTCTTGTGATTTGTATTCTTAGTTGCAACTTAACAGCCACCAACATCATTTAGACGGAATTGCTACATCACATTTAACAAAAAAAAAAAGGTGGAGGCTAGCTATAATCTTGTAGTTTTCTTACATTAGGGAATGCTTCACAATTCGTGCGAGAGCTCGTTCTCCTCTAGCTTCAGTGCCTCTAATGAACTAAGGCAACCGACAGCGACTCAACAATTTAAGGTTTAGGGTTCAAGGTAGGGTCAAGGGTGGACGCTCACAATTTCTTCTTAAAAAATGTTTGGACTTTGGAGGGATGTCTTATCCCTCCAAAGTCTCCTCTTTTTTTTAATAGTAGCCAATCCTTTATTTGAAATCACTTTGAAATATAGATCCGTATATATAAATTCAAATTAACCAACTGGAAAAGGTTTAACCATTAAGCAAAGTCTGGTTAGAAAGCGCTAATACTCTTTTTAGTTATAAATATTTGACGCATAGAGAAAGATTCTGTCAACCTTTTAAACTTTGATGCATTAGATGCTTAAATTCTTTTTATGGACATGTTGAGATTTGGCTCGGGAAGTTATATCATAAATTTATTGGAATTTCAAAATTTATTCTAATATAAAATTAGAGATCAATCTTTCACAAGTTTAATAAAACTTTATCCTAACATTAAATATCTATGACCAAAGAGCATATATACTCTCTTTAAATGAACTAAACATCATCATACATAAATTAAGGTCCCGTTTGGATTATTTAGTCCCTGTATACTTTAGTCCTTGGACTAAAAACTGTAGTCCCCATTTGAATCCAGGGACTAAAAAGACTAAAGTCATGTGGACTGAGGGAGAGAGAAGAGAAAGGCTGCCGCTTTAGATCTTATAAGTAAAGAGGGATTAATGGATTTTAGTCCCAATATACACTTTTAGTCCCTTTTAGTCACCTATATTTAGATTAGATTCTTAGAGACTAAAAAAACTAGAATATATGGAAGGACTAGTGGATTAGTCCCATGAAAAAAAGCCCTAAATGTAAAGAGGGAGCAGCATATTTCATGAATGCGTACGAGCATATCCAAAACAGTCGTTGTATCCGGCCCTTAGGATTGAACATGTGTGCTAGCACACAGGGCCCTAGCACACGGTAATCGAATTTTAATTTGTCGTTCTCATGACGTCAGCTGGTAGCAACAACACTCGTTCTCGTCCGGCTTTGGTTGTGCAAAAATGTGTTACTCCCTCGTCCGTTTTATAAAAGGTAACACCGTTAACTTTTATCACACGTTTAACGATTTATTTTATTAAAAAGTTATCTAATTATAATTTATCTTTTAAATTATTTTATGTCTAAAAGTATTTTGAGCATGATTTATACCTTATATATTTATATAAAAAATTTAAATAAGACGAATGATCGTTCAAAAGTAACAACCGTAACTATTAGAAAACGGAGCGAGTAATTAATTAAGCTTTGCCTTGGACAAGGGACCAAGAAAGAGACGACGCCATTGACACGCTAGCTAGCTCACTGCATTAATCACACACACAAAACAACAAATCAAATGGTACTAGGAGGAGACCAAACCAATAACATGGCTATATATACACACACACACCCATCCTGATCCAGCTCGATCTAACCGATCGATTCATCATCAACAATTCACAAGAACTCCATCACTTACAGTGCAAATCATCAAGCTGATTTCATCAGACAAATTTCACTAATTAACAACTAGCTAGCTGCCGTAGAGCTAGCCGTGTGCGATCAAGATCAGATCATCCATGGCGTTCTACAAGTACGGCTTCGCCTTCTTGGCCGGCACCGGCTTCGGCGCCGCGCTCACCAGCCTCCGCCGCGACGGCGACAGCTGCTGCCCCATGCGCCGCCGCCACCGCCGCTGTCGCCGCCGCCACGACGACGACGACCAGCTGGTCGACGGCGACGGCGAGGCTGCAGGGGAAGAGCGATACAAGGAGAGCAAGAGGGCGACGACGACGACGAATCCCAAGGCCAAGAAGGGCAGCACCAAGGAGAAGGCAGCTGCTAGTGTTGCTAGGGAGGAGGAGGATGACGATGATGAATAGGATTAATTTGAGTTGATTATTAATTAAGTTCAGTTTGAGTTCAGCTATTATTGTAATTAGCTGCTTGATTCCGTTGCTGTGCCGGTTAATTGTGTTTGTTTAGCTCTGTACTCGTTATCCTGTTGTGTGTATTGACAAAATAAGATAATATATATACATCTCTGTTGTTAAAAAATAAGTACCTTTGTTTGACGGTTTTTTTATTTTTTACCTAGAGCTTTGCGTTGTGAGCTAGAGTCGTCAGCCATCTCGATCTTGAGAAACTTATAACTAAGATATATAATAATTGAGATTAAAACTAGCTAGCGGAACAAATTTAGACCAATTCAGGGTAAACTCCTGTTTTGTGATCGGAATGGAAAATTTCTAGATAAATCTACAAACGAATTACACTTTTACGGTCAGGATAGACTGCTTATAATGCAAACCGATAAAGATGAACAAACAGTACAAAAGATAGAGATAATATTGAAAAAAATGACACAATTGGCTAATTGTGTGTTGGATTGTTGGGTGTATGAATTGGCAGCCAATTGTGATCAAACTCATCGAATGGTAGTAGACAGGTTAAAAAAACCAAACTAATTAACTGAGCAATAAGCCCACCTCACTATATTTCAACACAATTAATTAACTGAGAAAGTCTCCTAGATTAACAGATTAATCACTCTATTGCTAGCAAGAAAGGCACAAGAAAAATAGAAGGGCACAATTTAATCGACCGGACAAGGACAAGCCTTGCTCGGTGGGTGGTTGGGGATATTGCAAAAAGTATATAAAAATTCCTGAAGTTCAGCTGTTGTAGTCTGACTCTTGGAGAAGAAGTTGATCATGAATCTTTTATCCACCAAAACCGTGTGATAGTGGCCACCCCTTGCAACGTCAGATCATTTCAACTATTATACTACTAGTAGCTAGTACTATCAATTATTCAACTTGATTACATAGAACATGACCATCAATTATTTATTAATCTGTTGTATATTCTGCACTATCATTCCTAGATCTTTACATTTCCTTAGCTTTGCTCCCTTCAATTCCTTTCTTGAACCCTTGTCCAAGAAACACATATTCATCCGATTGATGGACACACTGATGCTAGCTTCTTCAATCCAGCTAATTAATTACACACACCTGACACATATAAATAGCAGCACAGATACACAGATTATTCTCATCCATTAACACCACTTCTCATCTGAAGTTCAGACACACACACACTGACACAAACATATATACTTACATATAAATACAGATATATATAGGTGGTTAGCTACCTGTATAGTTTATACATTAGCTAGCGTATGTGTTGTTGTTGATCATCGATCGCCGGCGACGACAGGGAGAGATCGATCCACGATGGGTTGCCTGCTGCGGCGGCTGTTCCCGTTCCTGGTCGGCACGGCGGTGGGCGTGTACGCGGCGCAGAATTACAAGGTCCCCAACCTCCGGGGCCTCGCCGACCGCGGCGTCGACGCCGCCAAGCACTACGAGGAGGCCTACCGCAAGAAGCCCTCCGCCGGCGGCGGCGGCGGCGGGAGCAGGAAGAAGATGAACAAGACCGTCGAGATCGACGACGACGAGGAGTAAATTAGTTGATACTGCTAGTGCTAGCTCACTAGTTATTACATTTTCTATGAAAACGAGCAGCTAGTGTGTATGATATGTAAATTATTGGAATGTTCTTATGTGTACACGTAAAACTTATACGTAAACCTTATTTGTACTGTTTCTAAATTAAAAAATTAAAAAGAACGGATATATTAATAAAAATAAAGGACGAAAAATTGATCAAATGGCGAAGTTGTGGCCACTTTCACTATTGCAATCAGCCGAACGTGTAGGTGAATCGACCATTTTGACTCCCATAGAATCAGATTCGTAATCTACTACTGGAGAAACTGTCGATGTTTGATGTCGCGATTCCGGTATTTGTATAGTATGGGAATCGTTGGTACTAGGATATATGTGAGACTTAGGTAAAAGAGACGGAGACAAGGATTTTTATACAGGTTCGGGCCCCTGAATCGTCAGGTAATAACCCTACTCCTGTTGGCCGGTCGGTCGTTGCTCTTTATTCACCATAATCACACCAGTACAATATTTAGGTTAGCCTATCTAACTGTTGTCGACTTGGCGGTCTGTAGTACTGACTCGTAGTCGACAACAGGGTAGCCTTCCTCCTCGAATCCGCATCCGGCGAGATCAGAGACAACGCTATATCTCTCCTGACAGTATCCGTAGGCACCGTAGGGGACTAGCCATGCCTATCTCTGAAATCGATATCCGGCGTCTTGTCTTGGCGTATGTTGGCTTGTATGTTGATCTTATGTCTTGATCTATTGTTCCGTGTATGTTGATTGTGTCCTCTCTCCTCCTAGGGGGCCTTATATTTATGGGTAATTTGGAACCATGCCATTATAATTTTACAAAGTTTGAGATATGCCATCGGTATCTCAATGACATGCAGGACCCACATGAGTCAATGACATGTGGGTCAGGATGGCATATCTCAAATTTTGCAAAATTATAATGGCATGGTTCCAAATTTCCCTATATTTATACCCATAGGTGTCCCATTGTCCAAGTAGAACTAGGGAAACCAATATGGATACAATCCGAGTAGTCCTTGTCGTTTCCATGTAGAACTCTAATCATCCTTCCTTATGCGGAACTCCTCCTATATCCGAAGGTTGTTTCCGTATAAGACATGGTATGTGGTGGGTCCTGCCAAGATTTAGTCAACTACTATTAGGTATGTGGTATCCATAACCCTGACAGAAACCATTTTTGGTCGATAAGCCAATTTCCACAATAGTCCCGGTTCCAATAAAAACCGGGACTGAAAAGTATCTTTAGTCCCGGTTTAAAAGCTCAAGGGTACTTTTTGATCTTTAGTTCCAGACGGTGTTACCAACCGGGACTAAAGATCATTTTTAGTCCCGGTTGAAGAAGTTGTTAGATCGAGTCAGGCCCCAATTATCTTTTAGTCCCGGTTGGTATAAACAACCGGGACTACAAATAGAACTAACAACCGTGTCCAAAATTCACCCCAAGCCGCACACATATCTCGGTCGATCTTTATCTCTTCGCGCTTCTGTCTGTCCCTTCTCCCTCGGTCTTATCCTTCTTCCCCTCCACTCATTCTCCTCTTCTCTCTTCACTCCTTCTCCTCCCCTTCTCCTCTCCACTGTCTTCCCAGCGGCGGCAAGCGGTGACCGGTGGCCCGGCGAGCGCGGCAGCATGGAAATTTTTTTTCTTTTTTCCTTCTTAATGTGATGTGTATGATTGTGATTTGTGATGCGATCTGTGATTTGTGATATGTGAATAATATTGGGAGATATGTGATATGTGAACTATCTGTGTGATTTGTTATTTGTTATTTTCTAATGATTTGGAGATATTGGACGTGAGAAAAGAAAAAAAAGGAAAGATTCGTACCCCGGTTGAAAAACCGGGACTACAGGGGTTACCAACCGGGAGTACAAACGGTTTCTCCGGTAGTGATCTTAACCACAAAAATGTGCATATCGTCTTCTTTAAGTACACACGTGCAAAAATTACTTTCTTGGCTGTTTTAAGGATGGTTTTAACTAATGTGTTGTCTACGTAGCACGGTTGACTTAGTCTTCATCTGATGCGGCACTATAGCTAGCGGAAAAAAAGATAAAAGTGGGATCCACATGTAAATTCCCCATCCTATCTTCTTCCTCACTTCTCCCCCTTCTCTCCCCTCCTCCCCCTCGCTTTCCAGCGCTAGTAGAGATGCGGGATGGCTGCAGTGGCAAGGTAAATACAACCAGAGGTAGAGAAGGCGTTGGCGGCTTCTATCCTCTTCTCTCCCTCACTCCTCTCTCCTGGTGTCGGGTGTGTCAAGTTAGTCAAATGTAGGAAGGGCGGTGGTTCGGACTAGTATACTCCTTCCTTCTTGTTTTCTCCCCCTTCTCGTTTTATATCCGTATTAACGAATGATATATTAGTCACCTCTTGCTTAATCTCTCTTTGACTCATCCTTCCCCAAGCAACATGAAACCTATCAGCCAGGGAATAATCAACAAACCGTATATATCTTTCTAGACTGGTCATATTCGGGGTGAGAACTTCCTACATGAATCATTTTATTTACTAAAAGTAAAAGAAAAAAAATTAAAATCATCCATTACATCTTCCCCAACACAAGGTGAAACAATTAATCAACCAACCGCCTATATGTTGCTACAAGTTTGAAGAAGATGATGAAGAAACAATCGCTTGCCGTTGGGCATTTGCAACCTTTCACTCCTTCAAATTCATATCATAAGACGCTATGATTATTTTTCTAAGCAAACTTTTTTAAGTTTGAGGTCAAGTTTATAGAAAAATATAGCAACATTTTCAGTATAAGACAAATATATTATTAAAATATATTCAATGCTACATTCAATAAATCTAATTTGTTTTTGTAGATGCTAATTTTTTTTTACAAACTTAATCAGATTTAAAAGTTTAATTGGAAACGTCATATTACTTTATAATATGAAGAGAAACAGATGGAGTAGCTAGTACTAGTCTTTCTCAAGTCTCAGCCTTGGAGAAGAAGTTGATCGTCAATCAGAGTCCTTTATCCAAACCAAAACCGTGTGATCGAGCACCTGATCTAGTGGAGTGGCCAACCATGACTTACTGAAGCGTCAACTCATCTCTCAACTACAGTGGCAGCAGTAGCTGGAGTATCAATTATTCAACTCCTACACAGAACATGGCCATCATATACATCACTATCACCAAGCATATAAATCGATCTTTATATCTGCATCTTTGGTTCCTCTTTGCTTTTCTCCTTAATCATCTTCCTCCAACATCCATTCTTGAACCCTTGTCCAAGAAACAACAATATTCAGAATTTCAGCTGAAACACTAATGCTAACTATGACACAAGTATAAATAGCAGCATAGACAGGCATGTTGTTATCATCAAACACCATTACTCATCTCTAGTTCAGACACTAATTATTAACATACACACATTAATTAGTGTGTTCTTCATCATCGCCGGCGATCGAGCGAAGGCGACGATGTTTTGCTTGCTGCATCGGCTGTTCCCGTTCCTGGTTGGCACGGCCGTCGGCGTGTACGCGGCGCAGAATTACAAGGTCCCCAACCTCCGGGGACTCGCCGACCGCGGCGTCGACGCCGCCAAGCAATACGAGGAGGCCTACCGCAAGAAGCCCTCCTCCGGCGCCGGCGCCGGCGGCGGGAGCAAGAAGAGGATGAACAAGGCCGTGGAGATCGACGACGATGAAGAGTAACTAAGTTACTGATAGCTAGAGATGCAAGCAGGTCGACCTACGATGAACCGAACCCACTTATAGGTCAAATAAATAACCCGTGGATTTTCGGGTCGTGGCTCGGCTTGTCACATCTATAGATGCAAGTGAATTAGTGGATAATCCGCATAGTTTTGCTTATAAACAGGTTCGTGGGTTGGTCCACTTGCATTCCTACTGATGCTGGCTCCTACCCCATCCAAGCTGCAAGGAGTATATATGCTCTACAAAAACGAGCAACTAGTGTATAAGTTAAATTGTTTAGCGTATGTATGTACAAACTAACTGCTATATTCGTCTCAAAATATAACAACGTGAGACTGTCCAAATTCGTGGTACTAAAATATATCCCATCTATTTCTAGGTTGCTATATTTTGATGAGACGGGGGATTAAGTTTTAATTTACCGAATAATAATAAAGAACAAATGTATTATATTATTAACAAAATAAAGGAAGAAAAATGCTCAAATGGCAAAGTGGCGAGCATCTGAACTAGAGGGCCTTAACAATTGCAATGCACCGATCTCGTAGTTGAATCGGCCCGAGTGACTAGTTGGGCCGTGAAGATTTTTTACAATATTTGTGAATTTGTAAATGGGCCTAATTGGACAGTTTGCCTTTCTTTTACTGGGCCAAGCCAATATCAGAAGCTCACCAAACAGTGCTCTTATAGATGGCCAACTCGGCCGCCCGGCACGGCACGGCCTAAGCCCGGCCGTGCCTGGGCCGAGGTTAGTTAGGCCGGCACGGCCCAGCGTGTTCACCGGACCGTGCCAACCCACGGGCGGCATACACGGCCCAGGCACGGCCTAATACTACTCGAGTCTATCGTGCTTCCTCACAGAAAAGTTTATTTTTCGTCCCTCAACTCTGTGGGTTGTGTTCAAATGGCTGGAAAATAAGTCTATTTTGTATTCCTCTTCTATTTGGGCCTTGCCTTATACGGTTATTAAGTATATTTTGCATCCCTGTATTTTTTTTATTTGATCGGGCCATGCCGAGGGTGCAGCCCAAGCATGGCCCGACACGGGCACGACCCTAATCGGGCCGTGGGCCTTGGGCCATATGGCCATCTATAAGTGCTCTAGTATGCAGAGGAGCTATTTCGCAATGGGACTACCTATACATTTGTCGACAAATTTTTCCCCAAAAATTCGACAGATGTAATTATAGTACAATCGTAGTGTAATTACACTGTAACTTATATGTAATTACACTGTAACTTGCATGTAACTACAGTGTAACTTATATGTAAGTTTCACATAATTTTAAATTGTTAGATCTATTACAAGATTTGTTTTCGTGAGGAAGAAAGCAAATCATAGCAAACACATGTGAAAGAATTTGTTCCCACGACCTTCATTTTACCGAAATAACATGTTACGGAGAGATTTTTGAAAGTTACATACAAGTTACACTATAGTTACAGTGTAATTACATGCAAGTTACAGTGTAATTACACTACGATTGTACTGTAATTACATCTGTCAAATTTTTAGGGAAAAATTTGTCGACAAATATATAGCAAAATCGATGATGAAGAGGTTTCATACTCTAGTTAGTTTGTTCATGCCGCCAAAAGGGTAGTTTCCATGCTTTCTCAGAAGGACAAAATATAGCTACCCCGACTGTGTCGTTGGGCTACCGTTGGTCCTCTCCACGCCTGCAAAAACCACTTTTTGCCGCCTGCGAAAATGTATTTTCTAGCAGTGGTTAGACCAGGTTCAAAGTTCGGTTGTTCAAACATATACTTACCATGTTTATGTTCTCTAATGATGCTCTCTCGATCTACCACTACTACAACCACTGGATTCACTAGCAATCAATCAACCGTCCCTAGATTCAAATAGAAAAGATGTTTCTAATCCAAAATTACAGCACCATAGCAGCAGACAACAGTTACCCTGGGCTTCTTGGCCTCTCGAGGCAGTGCAGAGCAGTAGCGAGGCGGTGTCATGGCCGTTCCGCCGCCATGCGCCCGCGACCCCGCGCACTGGTGCCAAGCCGCGCCCACGTCCGCGCGTCGGTGCGCTGCACGCCTGCGCCTTGCGCCCGTGAATCGCCGGCCGTCCGCTCCCTCTCCTCCCTAGTCCCTGCTCTTCCCGATCTCTCCCCACAGTTGCTGCAACCAAAGCCAAGCTCCACACTGTCTGCCAGACAGCCAAAAGCCCAAAACCACACGGCGTGCATACGTGTAGCTCGACGCCGGCGCGGAGAGGCCGGCACGAACAAACTAAGAAACGCGCCCGCACCATAAGCTCGGCGAGCAGGGCGCCGCAGCCGCCGGCTGCCTCGACGCGGGACGGCGGACCTGCACCCGCACGCCTCCTCAGTCCTCTTGCTCGGCTCCCGTGGTGGTTAGGGTTAGATGGGGAGGGGAATTGGGGAAAATGTCGAAATGGGCTGAGATGCGGCCCAATTAGGGTGCGGGCTGAGAGGAAAGGGGGAGGAAAGCGGAAAATTTAGGACCAATAGAGAAGAAATGGTAAAATAAGGCCCAATATAAGCAGTATAAGGTTTCTTTTTTAATTTTTTTTAATACATATACACACTGTAGGGTATATATACCTATTTTTTGTCCAAAAAACTTAGGTATACATCTGAATACCCTTGAATACATACTGGGCCCGCCCTTGATATACAGGATGAGAAGAAGATGAATTTGATGGGTTTCGTCATGAAAACCCAACAAGAAGTCGACGTTGGATAGCATACATACTTTGGATATGGGCCAAAACGTAAGCACGGACTCATGCATCAGAAACGAACAATATTTGCAAGCAGACATCACATACGTTATCCAGAATTAAATTAAATCAAATTAAAGCTAGGCATCGCTTGCAATTTGCATCATCATATCATTATCATGTATCACCTTTTCCTTTCTCTTTCAGTTCAGTTTGTTCGTAATTTCGTTGTGTGCCAGCTAGCCATCCATGCATATGCTGGCAATTCGTTGCCGTCCGGCCGTTGCAGAGGCGGCGGCGGCGGCGGCGAGCCGGTACCAGTTTCGGCCGGTGAATTCCGATCTACGGTCGGTCATCGGCGGCGAGTGAGTTGGTGGATATAGGTTTTTCCTTTCCGTTAGCATGTTTTTTAAATGGCTAAACGGTATGTTTCATTAAAAAAATTTATGTAAAAGTTGCATTAAAATCAATGTTCGCCTAAACGGCCGCCTAGCCCGTCTAGACGGTGATTAATCGCTAGTCGGCGACAATTTGTCCAGTTTACACCCTAGGCAGTGAATTAGTCGATTTACCGCCTAGACGGTCCTAGTCGGTCCTAGGCGGCCTGGACGGCCTGGACAGGATGGTGCCTGGGCGCAATTAGACAACGGGACAGTGCGTTTAGGCGTCGACTAGGCGATAGAAATCAAAATTTAGGCGTGATAAAATTTAGAAGCGCCACGCGGGACCGACTCGGTATAGAAGGGGATTTAGGTTCCCTTATTTGAGAGCCTGGAGAGAGAGCGTAATCCCTGCCTACCCCTTTTTTCACACCGCCACGAGCGACGGCTCCGTCGCCGCGCCCATCGATCTTCCACCGCTTCTCCACGTCCTTCCCTCTCCTCCTCTGCTTCTCCACGTTCTTCTCCCTCCTCTGCTTCTCCTGCTCTCCATCTCATCCTTCATCCTTGCCGTCAATGGAAGGTGGCAAACACACCGATTGAAGCAGTCAAGTACGGAACCACTCAAGCAGCTTACGCCAACCCTAGATCAGGCCATCAGGGGATCAGGCTCCCCTCCACCACCTCACCTCCTCTGTTCTTCCAGTTCTAGATAAATTTTTCTTCCTCTCTCCTAGCTCCAGCCCCTCAGATTTATAAAGTTATGATTTATGAATTATGATGTGCATGTACAGTGGCTATACTGATGTGTTCGCTATCCCTATAGATTTGTACTAAACCCAATGCTTCGTGTGCAGTGTTAGCGCGTTGTATGGACTTGATGATTTCTGAATTTAACTATGATTTATGCTATTTGCCTAAATGCCAATATTTACCGAGTACCGAATGTATAGAATCAGTATTTTTGTGTGAAAGAAATAGAAAAAATGTCTAATTCGCCTAATCCGTCTAGTCGCCGCCTAATCAGCCTAGTCGCTAGTCAATCGGTGGCCGTCCGACTAGCGTTTAGCGACTAGGTGAACACTGATTAAAATATTATATAATATGACAATTTTTTTATTAATGTTTGTAATAATTAAAATTCAATTAATCATAGGCTGTGTATATCCATTATGGATATAAAGGCCGAATTTTAGCCTATTTTATAAAAAAAACTCAATTAATATACTACTGCTTTTCTGCTTTTCTTGTACGTGTTGCGTGCATATCTTACTCAAGTTCGAACAGAGCCTTGGATAGGTAGTTGATGCCTAGCGAGTTTTTTTCGCGGACGCGTAAAAAGATTACACATCAATATATTAGATGCCTAGCTAGTTAGCTTCTCAACTTATGCTCTCATGGCTCCCATGCATCACGCATGCTGCCCAAAAATAACAACTGAAGAAATGCTGTAGAAAACGATGGGAGGAAGAAGGAGAAGAGAGAGAGAGAGAGAGAGAGAGAGAGAGAGAAAAGCAGAAGAAGAATTGGCCATGCATTTGTGGACATGTAGTGGAGTGGCTACACGGTTGGACATGCATGTTTGATCGCGAGTGTGCTGTATTGCATGGCTTGTGGTGGCTACACTACCAACATGCTCAGTGTGGAGATTATGGGTACCCCATACCCACACGGCATGGTTATCCGACTAGTTATAGGGGATAACTTATATATATGGAATATGTAACAGATCATGACTTGGGTATTACGTTTCCTTATATATTACGGAACAGCCTAAAGTCCTGGTTTGATAATATTGTAAAGTAGATTTAGGAAACCGATACCGTATTGGTTAAGGTTTCTATCTTGTAATCCTGCCCCCCATCCTATATAAGGTGGGCAGGAGGCCCTCTAGGGGGCATGAGACAACTAGATCGTCAGATCTATAATACACCCGGCGGATTCAATTCCCCAAACAGGAGTAGGGTATTACCTCTCATTGAGAGGGCATGAACCTGTCTAAATCCTTTGTCTCCACATCCATCCACTTTTAGGTCTCGTGCGCTACCCCGTTTTATTATTGCCGAATTCATGTTTCGACAGTTGGCGCGCCAGGTAGGGGTTGCGTCGAGTTTCCTATCAACGAGCGCGATGGAATCAATTTCATGAGTCGCCGACTTCGCTTTCGCTTTGGGAGTTTTCATTTCCTTTCCGTCGACCACTTATTCAAGCTCCTCTTCTCTGACTTGATCCAAATCAGTCAGGGGGAAACTCAATCTGATTTTTATCATTATTTATCATATTGATTTTTAATCTCAGATTAAT